AAACATCTAGATGTTTATAACGGTTAATTATGACAGTTTTGTTTAGATTAATTAATATTATTAAGTAGTAATAACATTATTAAATCTAAATGTTGGAGCTTAATTTCCTCAAGTTGGAGTTAAATGATTCAGTGGAATTAATTATTATATTAGATGTTTGCATTTTTCATGCTGTTTTTGTCAGTTACACGAATCAACACATCTGGTTACATCTGGTTCACGTATTATTAATAATAGTCAAGCTAAACAACATGGTGGTTAGCTTTAAATAAAAATAAATCCAGTTTAAACCAGCAGACTAAGTTTTAAAAGTTACCGGAAAAGAATGCAACATATAAAACACCTTCATCTTATTAATGATGCAACACAGGATATAAAAACATGCCGCTGAGCATCCTGGGAAATGACAGGAAGTCCGCTCCCATTGGCAGCTACAGACAATATTCAGTTTCCTAAATACTTCAAAGTGACAGGATTATGTTAATTTGGTTATCTTTAGTCAAATTAAATCTATTGTTGTGAAAACATTACCAAATAAACCAATGTTTAGCATAAAAAACTCATTTTAAGTATTAATACGGAAGCAGGTTTGGTCAATATTAATTAGCATGAACACCTATTTAATAAAAGTGAAAGTTTAGATTTAAAATTTGTTCTTTATCTTTAGTTGTTTCAACATCTCTTCTTGTTGTTTAAGTATAATTTAATCATCCTAAGTTGAAAAGAAAAGCAGAATGATTTTAGTTAGTCGACCATAAAACGTTACATTAAGTCACAGCGTTATTTTTAGAGCCCGGTTTCGAGACCCCCGGGGGGGTCGTTAGCGTTAAATGGTGGCTCGCCAGGTGGTTTCGTAAACGTTGTGATGTGATCCCCGAGTGCCAAAACATTAAAAACAACAATGTCTGAATAAATACACATTTATTCATTTATCTAATACACTAGTCAAATATTAAATTCCATAGAATTAAAAAATAGTTAATTTGATGATTAAACGTCTCTTTAACCTGAGCA